GTTCGTTCATCCACGAAGGTGCCCCGTTGAAATGACGGGCTTAAGTTCAATTCCAAGAGTTTGACCGGTCCAGAAAAATGTAACCGTGTTGGGAGATTCGAACCTCAGGTTTGCTCCGCACGGGGCCGACTCTCCACCGGTGCGGCTACGGCGCCATCGTGTGAGCGGCCGAGCGGGCTAGGCTCAAGGCACGAGTCGGCGCAGTAGCTTGAGCGGGAGAAGAACCGGTCCCATCACCACACCCTCTCACATGAGGCTTCGAGACCGACCTCGTGGCTCTTTGATATCGCTACGAAATTTGAACTCTGAGTCAGGTGTTCTAATACTCGACGCGCCGTTAAATTATTCGTTTTTATGTTTGAATTTTTACGCATTGTACGAGAAGCTCGACCAGTCGGCAACCCGCGCTGGGGTTCGAGTCCTACCTGGGACCTGGCCGGCCCGCCTTTTTCTCTCTCTTTCTTTCTTTCCCACGCCGCGTCTTCAGCCTGTGTTCTAGTCGGTGAGCTACGAGTGCGGTCTCTCAGCCGAGTGCGTAAGGGTGTCGGGGCGGGGATCCCCGGGCCATGGGTTCAAGCCCTGCCGCCGGCGCTTTTTTTTCCCTTCTTCTTTCTCTGGTCGCCCGCCAGCAGAAAAAGCTTCCATCCAACTCACGGGGGTTCGAGTCCCACCGGTCCCACCGGTAGCCGGGTCAAGCGATTTCTGCCTCTTTTGCTCACCCAACAAAAAAAAAAAGTTCCGTCAAGGCACGGATCGTGGAAGCAGATGATACGTATGTAATGATCAAGCCTTGCTTTATTGGCTGAGCGAACGGAATCTTTACCGCAGCCTTAGCTTAAACTTAGCGATGCCACCTTTTTCCAGGCTCGGTTGACACCCGATGGTCGCGATCCCGATCGAGGCCGCAACCCCAGTTTGGCCAACTTGACAAACAGGGATGTTATCAGAACTGCTATGAGATCAAAACTTGCGGTGGATATAAAGTACGAAATTTGCAAGGACTTAATGTTTTGAGCAATAGGGAGTTAATTCTGAGTCTAAAAAAATAATATTTAGAAACATTACAACAGTTGTCATGAAGTAGAACTTCTACGGGGAATGTTGGTGCACTTGGTTTTAGCAGACAACATTGCGGCATGTTTTGTTGATCGTTGAGAAGAAAACGGAGAAATTTCTCTCTGTTTCTTGATCTTCGAGATTAAAGAGAGGTGTATGTCATTAGAAATTATGATCTAAAAAAAGTATGTCAAAGTGCAAATGCTATATGCCCACTATAACTTACTCTCCTAACCTAAATTTGCTCAAATAATTGAACCGAATTTTGACTTTTAAATAAGTTCAGGCTCTAAGGCAGATACGATCGCCTGAACCACAAACCACTGAGTTTCGCCGAGTTATTCACTTAAAACAGTTATCTTAATGAGGTCGGTATTGGTCCACACTTCGAGCTTCCATGATTTAGGGCTCTCAAGGCAGATATCGCCGCCTCAACCGCAACCCGCCCTGCTTATTTGGTGTAAGACACACCATGAAACAGATATAAATCTTAAAAAACATAACCTACATTGAGCTCAGCCTTGAGCTGGAACTCTGCCTAGTATTATTTCAGCACAGGAAGTGGAGGTTTCAAAGATCTATAACACCCACACTTACAGAATTTTGTTGCAATTTATATCGCTATTCATATCATACAAGTTCCCCACTGCCGTTTTATTCTCCTTCAGAAATGGGTGGCTCCAGTTCGCTATGAACAAGCAGTCGTTAAAACACTCGTTGAAGTTGAAGTTGAAGTGTTTAGAATATGTTTAGAATAGCATCATACGATAGCGCCCGGGCGGCCGAGCCGAACCGTACCGAGTTCCGAGCTGTGCTTCGAGCCGAGCGCCGGCCGAGCCGAGCCGGGCGGGAGGGAGGTAGAAAGGAGGGGGAGGGGGGCTGACGCTGCGGAGCTCGGCTGTGGCACGGGCGGGCCACCACCACCACCACCAACAACCAGCCGCCCCCCGGTCTATCTTCTACTGGTGACGTCACGCTTTCTGCCTCGCTCTGCACGGTGCTGCATGAGAGTACAAGCAATGACACATTTGACATATCATTCTTATTTTTAATTTCAGTTTTGTAAAATGTTCAAAGTTTCAGTTTTTACAAATGTATCATCTGCTAAAAAGGCCCGGCGGCTGGGCTTGAACCCATGACGCGGGAGTCCCCGCCCCGGGTTGCTTGCGCACTGGCGTGCAGGCGCGGAAGGTGAGGGGGGAGCGGTCGAGGTGGCGGTGGCGGTGGCGGAGGCGGAAGCGGACGGAAGCTGGAAACGTAAATAAACAGAGAAAAGCGGGGTCTTCTGCTCAATACCGGTAATTCCTACCCTACCCAAATTTACTATAGGATTCAGAATAAGGAATCAGAGTTTTAGGGTGAACAGCGGTTTTTTGATATTAATCTCAAGGGATAGTGCTTGGGTGGTGTACGGAATATTTAAATGTTCTGTGCCGGTTGTTGTAGGAGGTTAGAGTGTGCTCCAGCCAGTGGCCCTATTTTTACACACACAAGTGGTAAGTTATCTTTCGAGGCAGAGTAAATGATGCCCGTTATTTAAACTTGGCT